TCTCTATCTCTTACGGTTCAAAAGTTTTGGCCAAGGTTAAAGTTGACAACAGACAAACAGACAAACAGATAAACAGACAAACAGACAGGACAAAAACAATATGCGCCCCGAAAAAATTCGGGCGCATAAAAAAACATCGCATGCTGGGAAACACCTTGAATTCTTATGAGTAATTTATGTACATGTCAAATGTGAGAGTCATATCTCATCTCAATCAAAAGTTATAAGCAAATGCAACATTTTTGAAAAGTAGGTTAGGCTTGATCGCTTCAAGGTCAAGGTCACAGTGTAAAAGTCATGATTTATTTGGAAAGGTCTTATCACAGGTAATAATATACATGCATTATGATATGAATGCCCTAACTTTTCTCTTTCAAAATGATGAATTTATAACAACTTTTTTTGCAAGTTGGTCAAACTTCTAGGTCACATGTAAAAAAAAAAACCATGCCATTCTCAGAGGTAAATATACTAATAATAAGTTTAATATGAATGTCTCTTCTCATTCAGTAGATATAACCGTGATAACTAAGGTTAAATTTATTGAGACAGATGGACTGAGTCTGACATACAAATGTACATATTTCTATATGAATTGGGTAAAATTGGCCCAGTGGTTCTAGAGAAGTTAAAAATGTAAAAAGTTTTCAGACAAACAGATGGACAACACGTTACGACAGACATTATATGCTAAGGAAACCAAAAAAGCTCAAATGAGTGTTTTGAAAGGGTTACGATATGGTTGGAGTATTTGAAAAGCTGTTTTTTTTCCTGCAGAGATATGCATGACCAACATATTCATGTTTTATATTTTCTTTAGTGATTTGTTTGTTTGTTGTGAATACATCTTCCCTCATATGGAGACACCGCCAAATAATAATGAAGATAAGATGTGTTTGTGAAACACTGATGTCCCAGTATGGAAGCCTATGGCGAAGGTTGAAGTTTCTCAAATATATGTCAAAATCAAAGGTCAAGGTCAAAGGGTTCAAATTGTTAGTATCAGAAGAAAGTCTTGTCACAAGGAATGCACATGTGAAATAAAGAAATCCCTAGTAATTCCTGTTCAAAAGTTAATTGCCAAGGTTAATTTTTTTGTTTAAGTGGTTCAAACTCTAGGGTCAAGTTCAAACATATTTATACCTGTTGACAGTTCACAATGAATACAATATGTCATGATAAGTATGAAAGCCCTAGCACCTACTGATCAAAATTTAGGCAGAATTTAAAGTTTGGTATTTTTCTTGTAAAAATGTGTATCCCATGTCAAGCGATCAGAGGTAAAAATTAATGGTACCCAAATAAAAGGTCTTATTAAATTGTCACAAGAAATAAACCTATAAAATGTGGAAGCTATTTGTATAGCCCATCCCACTTAAAACTTATGGGCAAGCTAACTAGGATTTAATTTCTGCAGACTTATAGACAGACATACTAAACACAAGAAACAAAATATGTATAATAATTAGTCAAATGGAAAAAAAATATACTATTTAACTGGAATAACAAAATACATTGTTATTTCAGGGACAGGAAGTGGGTAGGAAGATTGGAATCCCCCCATCCCCCCCCCCCATCTGGCATTTGCTTTGTTATTTAAACAAGACTATATACTGTAGCAAGTAAAAAATGACTCTTGACATCCTCTCCCTATAAACTTAGAAAACATTGACCTCACTATCATTGTTTTTTTATTTGTTTATTTCATTGTTTTCATTTTTTTCTCCTGCTTGTCACGAAATTCTGGGCTGGAATTTTTTGACTGAGATGTGAACCCCCTCCCTACTCCCGAAAAAAATTCTGGATCCGCACCAGTATTGGCAGTAACTGAATGTCACATCGATAACGGGAGATAACTTCACAATATGAAATTCGTCTAGTGTGGCATGCGATGATCTTTCACCCTTTTTAAACTTTAACCTAATAGTTTGGGTGTATTTTACCCCCCACTATACTAAAACTTCTACTTACCGACTCCTGTGTCTCAACTTTATGAAATATAAATCCAATTATAACTCAAAATGAATTAATTCAATGCACACCAGACTGCAGCCATGTGCCATTTTGGCGAACCTTCGTCGATTCCATCACCTTATCAGATGAAGTGGGAATCGGCCGAGGTGTGCCAAATGGTGTTTAATCTATAAATATGATAATGGGTGACGCAACGTGATGTGATGTAGAAATTTACATGTTCACATGTATAGTACAAGAACAAATTTTAAATTAATTCATAACAAACGATATTAAATTTTAACAAACCTTTTCCATCTAGCCTATTCCAAAAAGTATGTGCTGTGTGATTGTGGTGTCGAGGGGGGGGGGGGGGTTAGTAAATTTAAAAAGGTCCTATTATGAGCAAAACATATATCAAAATCTAATTTCAGACGCGGATCCAGAAATTTTTTCCGGAGGGGGGGGGGGGGGGGTCCTCCTCAGTCAAAAAAAAATCCTATCCCAGAAATTGACAATCCAAAAAAAAACCAAAAGTAAATATCACCCAAACGTCAAAAACCTATATCGTGGGGGGGGGGGGGGGAGTAGTGGTGACTTCTATTGCCGCAAATTAAATGTTTAACTTTTCATACTTATTTTACACATATTCGTGTTTACCGGGGGGGGGGGGGGGGATGAGCATTTTACAAGGGGGGTCCATTGTAACTTTTTCCTTGTTTTAGTATATACATTTTTTAACCTTGTAAATTCCCGGGGGGGGTCCTGACCCCCCCCCCACCCCCCCTCCCGACAGATCCGTGCATGAATTTACATCATTAATAAAATTCAGACTGGTATATAATGAATTAAACATGTATAAAATAAATATAAGAGGTTCTGAGTTATTGGTCACAGGGTCTGAGAATTTCATACTCAATTTGATGAATACATGTAAATTATAGAATTATTTTGACTATTTCTTTGGAAAGCCGCCCAATATGTAGGAGCGTGTATTTAGAGGCAAGTACGGAAGCCCGTTGGTGCCACGTACGAAAAATATTTTATCTGGCGGCCGCCACTTATTATTTGGCGGCCGCCATTTGCATATCTGGCGGCCGCCAGATAATTATGTGGCGGTCGCCACTTATTATTTGGCGGCCGCCACTTATATATCTGGCGGCCGCCACTTAATATATTGCGGCCGCCACATAATTTATCTGGCGGTCGCTATATAATATCTGGCGGACGCTATATAACATCTGGCGGCAGCCACTTATTATTTGGCGGCCGCCATATAATTTATCTGGCGGCCGCCACATATTTAATTGGCGGCCGCCAAATATTTATCCGGCGGCCGCCACTTATATATCTGGCGGCCGCCACATAATTTATATGGCGGCCGCCAGATAACACCTGGCTTCCTGATGCGTGCGCATGTTTTAATGTGTGGTTTTAGATACAGTGTAAAAATTATAATAGCAACAGCAATCAACCAAACTTGTTAGAGATTTATTTTGAACCAACACTCCAATCCATACTTCTAGGAGATATGTTTTTGCTTAGAGCAGATTAATATTTGATTTGAATTATGCAAGTATTTGTAGAGTGTTTCGATTATTAAGAAGCCTTATCAGGGGTCACGGACATAAATCATGGTGTCTGCTTTACGTTATGATTGGTTGAGAATTAAATTAAGTTCTGCATTTCGGATTTCCAAGAATGGTGTTCCAATATTTCAGAATTCGTTTTTTATCATTTAATTTTTTACTTTTTTATCAATAAGCAGCGGTTGTGTCAACATCCATCTTCTTAACCCAATAACACTCACCTTTTGCAAAATAAAATATGTGGCGGCCGCCAGATATATAAGAGGCGGCCACCAAATAATAATTGGCGGCCGCCAGATATATATGTGGCGATCGCCAATTAATAAGTAGCGGCCGCCAGATAAATTATTTGGCGGCCGCCAGATATTATATAGCGGCCGCAAGAAAAATATGTGGCGGCCGCCAGATATTATATAGCGGCCGCCAGAAAAATATGTGGCGGCCGCCAGAAAAACTATGTGGCGGCCGCCATATATTAAGTGGCGGCCGCCAGATATATAAGTGGCGGCCGCCAAATAATAAGTGGCGACCGCCACATAATTATGTGGCGGCCGCCAGATATACAAGTGGCGGCCGCCAAATAAGAAGTGGCGGCCGCCAGATAAAATATTTTTCGTAGGTGGCACCAATGGGCTTCCGTAGGCAAACACCTTAGTGCGGGTATTACTGTCTCATGACAGCATCTAGTTAATGATGTGATTAAGGAATGTTATTTTTACACATTAACTTTTGTAACCTTTTTATGATTTTAAAAAATTCAGTTCTCTTTGCAATCGTTCATATATTGATTATTTGTCATTTTTGTCAATTACTATTAAAATCCTATTATTAGGATATATCGAATAAAAATAAATTCTATACGGTTAATATTGTTCAAATTACTCTTATAAATACGTATATTAATTTCGTTAATAATCTTATGATTTTCAAATAAATTCCTTGAGGGTCTAGCGGTTCAACGAATTAACCACCAGATATAACTTAGTCTTTTAAATATGAAATCTTAAGCTGTCAACGATAATTTGGCAAAGAAACATTTCATAAATGTTAATCGTAAAATTTGATCTTTTTAGTATATCTTTAATTTGCGCTCTCTTTTAAAGGGGATCAAAATAGTCCAAAATTGGCCACAACCACCCAGCCCCTTTAAAAGAGGTTTTTTTTTAGAAATGGAAGCAGCATTTGACGACGGTCCCCCTGTACATCACAACCCTTCTGTTTTGTACAAGACAAACGAATACACACACTCTCTCTCATACACACAATTAAGTGCGTTAAATTACAAGTACAATATTATCTTCAGCTCTTTAATAGGGTCAAACTATATCATGGATAGTTTGATAATTGAATTGTGTGCCACTTTTGAATAGCTATATATTATAGATACCTTAAGATAATTAAAATAAGTGTCTTATTTACTAGAAAGAATATCACACATGTGTTATAAAATGTACTAACCATAACATGATGTCTTTGATACGCAACACATTCCAAAAAAGGCTACAATCCATTTAAACCACATTCTGTACAT